TCATCTTGCAGCTTGTGTAAATACACACAATGATCATGTCTACTTCGTGTGTACTTTTTCCCAGTCATAAACTTATCAAACCGTTTGTACAATTGTCTCAGAGATTGCTTCAGTCTGTACAACGATTTGTTCAACTTGTAGACCCAATTCTCTTTTCCAAGAATTTTGAATCCTTCTGGCCGAGTCATGTAGATTTCCTCAACTAAATCTCCATGTAAGAACGCCGTCTTCGTGTCAAGTTGAACTAGCTCTAAATCCAACTGTGCTGCTAAGGCCAACAAAATTCTAATGGAAGAGTGCTTAACATCTGAAGAAAATACTTCATTATAATAAACTCTTTCCTTCTGAGCGTAGGCTTTATCCACCAATCTTATCTTGTAGCGCACATCATTCTTCTCAGGAAATCCATCTTTCTTTGCAAATACTCACTTGCATCCTATTGCCATTTTTTTTTTTGGTAGTTGCATCATCTTCCAAGTTTGATTCTTCTGGAGAGACAACATTTCTTCCTCCATAGCCCTTTTCCACTTCTCATTTTCTAAACTTCGAATTGCATCTTGAAAAGTGAAAAGTATGTCATCATCAACAATTGGAAGTGCATAAGCCACCATATCCACCAATTGAGCAGGTTGTTGAATCTCTCGTCTGAGCTTTCTCAATGTAATGGGTAACTCTAATGATTCTTGAGGATGTACTTCATCATCCGGCGAATCCTTTGATATTGGTTCGTCGATCATAGTTGGTCGTCTCGTCATCGCATCTATCTCCACCTGCTTCGTGTCAACTCCACCTGTTGGGTTTGCGTCATCTTTATCATACCTTGTTTATCAAATGTAACATCCCTGCTAAACACAGTTTTGTTCGTTTGAAGACACAAAAGACGATATCCCTTCATGCCAATTGTGATTCCCTTGAACAAAGCCTTTATCGCTCTTGGTTCTAACTTTGAATCTTTCACATGATAGTATGTAAGACACCCAAACACATGTAAAGATCCATAGTCAGCAACGGGTTTCCCTGACCATACCTTCAACGGTGTTTTACCATCTTTTGCAGATGACTACAATCAATTTATGAGGTGTTGCGTGTATGTTACAGCCTCAGCCCAGTACTCCTTGTCAAAACCAGCATTAGACAACATACATCGAACTTTCTCCATCAATGTTAGATTCATGCGCTCCACCACCCCATTTTGTTGTGGTGTCCGCCTAACGGTGAAGTGCCTACAATGCCATTTTTACGGCAAACATCTTGAAATGCATCACTTGTCCGCCACCCCATTTTGTTGTGGTGTCCGCCTAACGGTGAAGTGCCTATAATGCTATTTTTACGGCAAACGTCTTGAAAGGGATCACTTGTATATTCTCTACCATTATCCGTTCGTAAGACCTTGATCTTCCTTCCAGTCTGATTCTCAATTTGTGTCTTCCATGTAATGAAGACACCAAGAACTTCATCCTTTGTCTTCTTAGTGTACACCCAAATACGTCTGGAATAGACCTCAATGAAAGTGATAAAATAGCGTCTTTCGCCTAATGATGGGGTCTTAGAAGGTCCCCAAACATCCGAATGAACATAATCCAGGACTCCTTCAATATTATGGATAGTTGTCCAAACTTCACTCTCTTATGCTTTCCCAGAACGCAATGTTCACGAGAGTCTAGCTTGCACACTTTAACATCTTTCAACAGTCCTTGTTTTGCCAATGTTTTTAAAGACTTTTCACCAGCATGTCCCAACCGCATATGCCACAACTTGACTGCTTCAGACTCCTTGTTGGTGGAATCTGCTACTGTTGCTGTCCAACGACTATATCACCTTCATAATAATACAAGTTATTCCTCCTAATGCCTTTCATCACCGCGAGCGAGCCGGATGTAGCCTTCATAACTCCATCTCGCAAAGTCACTACCAAGCCTTTGGATTCCAAGGCTTCTAATGAGATGAGATTTTTCTTCAAACTCGGCACGTACCGAACATCCGTCAAAACTCTGGTGGATCCATCGCGATTCTTCAGACGGATTGAACCTATCTCAGTTGTCTTACATGCATTATCATTACCCATATAGACAAACCCTCCATTAATATCCTGAAAATTGAAGAACCACTCCCTTATGGGAGACATATGATAGGTGCATCCTGGATCCAAAATGCATTCGTCTGGATGAGATGACGAAGGTGAAACCACAAGTGAAAATTCCGAATCCTCACTTCCACCTTCGGCAATATATGCATCTTGAGGAGATTTGCCTTTCTTCTTCGACTTAGGATAGTCTTTTTTTCAGTGTCCCTTCAAATTAAATAACCCATAAATTAAGATTTTCTTAATTAAGGATTTCTTTCTAAGATAGAAGAGAATAGAATAAAGTGCAATTGTAACCCAAAGGCACGAGACCTATTTATACTAATAAGATTCTACACATCTTTGGTACACATCCGATGTGGGACATAAAATTAATCAATATCTAACATGGTGGAGCAGGAGAGAGGTTAGGATGAGGGTGGGTGGTGGTGGGTCTCATACGTGGGTTGTGTCATATTACCAATTTACCCTTAATTACTGGTCTATTGTATTTTTTCACCATAATATGTTCATTTATTTATAAAAATGCCACCCATATTTGACTGACACTTATTAAAATTTGACTTGATCACGACCATTAATATGATGAATCCAATGGTACATATTCATTCTTATTTCTTTCACTATCTATCATTCTCATTGGGTCCTAACTCCCCTAAGATAATATATATTTTTCATCAATATATACAACTTTAATTATAGCTTCATGACTAATTCTCACATAATATATTATTTTAGATGAATTTTGCCACTTTAGACGTCACACACTTATTTCAAAGTAGAATATTTATTTACTTTTGAATATTTTATTTGTTTATNCAAAAAAAAAAAAAAAGTTTCACCTAACACTTTAGGCTTCTTTTAGAGAGTGACTTAAGAGCATGTTTGTTTATGGAAATTTTTGATTTTGTTTGGATTTTTTGATTTAATTTGGTTAATTTTGAAAAATGTGGTATTATTAGGTGCTAGTGGATATATTAAAATATATTTATAATAAAATAATTAAAATTGATTTGATGTAAAAGTAGGAGATGAATGATTTTAAGTGATAGTTAGTTAAAATAATCTGAGTAGATGAATAGTGAACTAAGGTTGATGTGGTGTGTATGAACGATTGATTGATATTATTTGATAATATTGATGATAGTGGGGTGAAATTAAAGTTGAGTTAAAAAAAATGATTGAGTTAAAATGTTGGAAATTTTTTGAAAACTCAGGTAAAATGTCATACTATAGACAAATCAAATAGAGAAAATTATACCCTATACAACATATATAATTTTTTATTGCATAATCACCATATCTATAAAATTATTTGCAAAATTACAAGATTTATAAAACATGATTAATTTAAATATGCAATTAATATGCGTGTTAATTGTAGACTTATCACCTTCCTATCTCTCTCTCTCTCCCCCTATCACGACACTTTCATTCTCTCTTTCTCTCTCAATCCCCTTATCTCTTCTTCTCCGTCTTCTCTCTCCCTTTCTCTGTNCCTCGTATCTCTTCTTCTTTGTCTTCTCTCTCCCTCTCTCTGTTTTTTTTCTTTTCTGATCGGTCTAAGACGGCGACAACGACTTAGATGAGAGGGGTCGATGGAGCGATGGATTGGCAGATCCGCTGGGAGTAAGGCAACATCCTACAAATCCCTCAAGTCCACCATCGACAAGAGCCTCCAAAAAGCTCGAGACGATGAAGACGACCGATGTAAACCCCACCACCGCGGCCCTTCTCAAGAAATCGTCCAAGAACAAGAAGATGGACCGTGTAGAGACCTCGCTGAAGGAGTCCAGCCGTGACCTCTCGATGTTCAAGTTCAAATCCGGCGCGCACGAAAAATGAGAAATTTGTTTTTTATTTTTCGGTTGATTATTGTTTTGTTGTTTTGGTTATGAAAATTTATATGTTTCGGGTGTGAAAATTTTGTACATGATTTATATGTTATCATCAGATATGAAAATTTACATATTGCGGGTATATGTTCCAGGTATATATAGTATATACCAGAGTGTACAATACACATATACATAAAATATACATGAAATATACACTCGAGATTCTCGTAATTCAAGCCAGCGACATATCGGGACATACATATACATAAAATATAGTTTAATTATACACCCGAGTTTCAATCGTTTTTTAAAATCGATTTCAGAACTCACATATACATAAAATATACCTAAGATATACACTCGATCCATAAACTGCGGATCTCATTTAGTACCCCACATATACATAAAATATACATAAGATATACACTTCTGTAGACCTGCGATGCCGTAGTTTCGAATGAGGGTGAACAGATTTCTAATTATATCTCTTTTTCAATTTGATATGAACAGATTCCTAATTATTGGGTTAAATACACTTACCTTATCTTTTAATCCATATTTTGCGTGATTGTAGGAAGGTTGCGTGATTGTAGAAAGGTGATTAAAAACATAACGGAAGTTTTTGCTTGAGCCAAATAAAAGCACTAAAAATGGTAACCATGCAATTAAAATCTAGCATCTCGGATTTTTATAATATTTTTAAAATCGTGTGGTAACCATGCAAATTGCCCAACCAAATATGGATATGAACTTTCACGTCCGGATTACATGTAATTATTAGATATAGATTTTCGTGCATGTACAAAATAAAATTAATATATTGGGAAAGCGATAAGATTTTTTTAATTTCACATTTAAAAATTAAAAAGAAAAGAAAAGAAAAGAAAAATCTTTGGTATTCAATGGAGATAATTGACTAGATCATACTAAAGTAATTAAAGCAACTTTTTACCTAGAGTAAAAGGTAAAAAAGTTTCAAAAAAATTGTGGTAAAGTTGTCTTACACGCACTCTCACACACACACTAACTTGCACTATATATACCAAACCTCTCATCACTTCATATATATACTTGTCCTAGCTAGTTAATTTCATGAGATAATAACAATAATAGTATCAATACAATAAAAAATTGAAGATATATAGTTTATTACATTCCATTTTAATGGAAAGAGTAGCTTTCTTTCTCATCATCATCATCACCTTCATCTCCATCCATGGTGTACCAGTCAGCTCGAAAACCTGCCCAGAAGTTCCGGCCGTGTTTGTCTTTGGTGACTCGTATTTCGATGCCGGAAATAACAATCACATAAATACGAGCGCCTTCGACCAGGCCAATTTCCTGCCATATGGCGAGAACTTTACCAAAGGCCCGACCGGGAGATTCTCGGACGGTTGTATTATACCCGATTTCATCGGTATATTAGTTAATTAGTTAAACATATATGCATTTTTATTGAACCTAATTGAGCAATTGCTTGTCGATCTAAGAGGGAAAAGATTTTTTTTTTTCAAAACCTACGTTCTAATTTCTGTTTTGTTTCGTTAGATGATGGACACGTACATTTAACATGAATTTGAAATAGAAAATCCAATTCCAAATTTCTGTTTTGTTTCGTTAGATGATGGACACGTACATTTAACATGAATTTGAAATAGAAAATCCAATTCCATCTAAGGGAACATCTTGGGTTTCCTAATTACCGTTTTTTATTTTATTTTTTTTGAAAAAAATGGTAATTAATGTCTTGAATTGTTGCCTATTGCGAGGTGATATATAGCCGAGTATGCAAAATTGGAAGGTTTAATTCCAATTTATCTAGATAAAAAGGGCAGTGGGACCAAAAAATATATTGGAATGAACTTTGCATCAGGTGGAGCTGGTGCCTTAACTGAGACTTTGCAAGGCTTTGTATGTTTTTTCTACTCTCTACTATTTCACTTAATTTTTCAGGTACATTAATTATTATTAAAGTTTTTTCTAGAATTATTTGTTCATTATCCAGTCAATTTACACATTGCTGGAAAAATTATTTAAAAAGTATAAGTGTACAGCTATATGAAACTAGTTCAAGTTTTTTGAACATATATTTGTATTTAAAAATAATACCACTAAAATATGATATTTCATATGAATATGCATCTGTTTTGTAAAATGTTCGTCTGGATGCAATCATATATAATTATTTTAGTTTTTATAAGAAAAAATAATCAATTATGATGTGATGAATAAATTAATTTTACAAAAGAATAATATATATATATATATATATATATGTGTGTGTGATGCTACTGATTTTTAGTTTAACTTTTGTATTAAAAATATAAATAGTGAAAAGAGAGAAAGAATAAAATAAAATGAATGTGAATACTATTGAATGAAATTGAGTACTTGGAGAGCACTTATTAAAAATTCCATTTAAATCCAAGTTTAAAAAGTGATATGGTTAGCAAAAGCTTCGATGGGACCCACCAAAAAATTCCTCTTTTGTGATCCATAGGCCCAGAAAACAATGGGCTGACTCGAATTCATTAGCCCCACACGTAAATGACCTACAAGCCCAATATTCATAGGTCCGTGGTTTCAAATTTCACAAACATCAGACATCATTATTAATCTTCAGTTTTGTTATGGAGCCATCAGATGGCTCGGCTTATGGAGCCATCCACACTTAATAACCAATAGTATATTGACACGTGTCCTGCAACAAATACACTTTGGACAGGTGTCAATAAACTAAGTGGTGAATGGCTCCATAAGAAAACCATCCGATGGCTCCATAGAATTTTTATATCAATCTTATCTTTGGTTCACTAAGATATTTTCTTTTCGAAAGCCCAATTTTGGAATAATGTATAATTTAGACTAACACTTATTTTCATTGTAAATATA